AAGAGGAGCAACGTGAACGGTTAGGAGACCCACAGAAAGAATCTGTGTTTGTGTAGAAGATCATAAAGCGTAGTAGCAATACTGAGTCCCAGAGACTGGATGGGGACAGTGAGCCCAAGGGACTCCTCTGAGCAAGTACGACTGTCTTCCCCGCACAGAGCCTGGGGACACACTCAGCCAAACTTTTCCAGCCTCCCCAAGGCAGCGAAGAGCAAGTCAGCCCTGGCACTCCCCTGCCACCAGCTGCCATGGGGTCCCCAAAGGATGTGAGAGGGAGTCTCCACGGAGTCCAGGACAGCAGAGGGGGGAAGAGGAGTCAGCAGTCAAACAGAAAGAGGCCATTCCTTTGGGGCTGAAGAAGGATATAAGCCTCCCCGTTCCTGCCTCTGAGGTGGGGCGTGTCCCTGCTGCGTCCCCTCCCGGGCTCCCCCAAAGGCTGGCCTGAAGGCGCTCTGTCGGAGGAACTCCCACCCACCTGCACCTTCTAGGTATGTCCTTCCAGCCCGATAACCACGCACCATCGTGGTGACAGCGGCTGGTGTCTGGACCAAGATATATCAAACGTCTGTGTGCTGAGGAGGAATGAGTTAAGAACTGGGGCATGTTAGAAAGTGGGAAAGCCGCATCTTGAGACATGCCAGGAGGCCATCGTCATCAGACTTAAATATGTCCATGAGCAGAGTGGGGCCTCAAGAGAGAGGATGAGTCAAAACGAAGAGCTCAGCAGAGAGGAAGGAGCTAGCAGGAGGAGGCTGAGAGAACCTCCCAGAAAGCGAGACTCTCAAGCTGACAGAGCTGAGAATGCTGTCCAGTAGGACCTCGGCTCTTGCTCCTCCAAGCATGGCACCCAAACCAGCAGCGTTAGCCTCCCCCAGGAGTTGGTTAGAAATGCAGGACCTCAGGCCCCTCCCCAGACATTCTGAGGCAGAACCTGCATTTAACAAGGTCCCTAGGTGATTGCTATGTGCATTTAAGATTGAGAAGCTCTGATGCTCAGGGGTCCCAAATCAAGCTTCACATCTGAATCACCTAGAACTTTTTTTTTGCAAGTACAGACTTCTGAGCCCTGCTCTAGATCAGTTGAATCAGAATTCCTGGGCACTGTGTCATATATCTTTTCACAGAGTTCCAGCAGTAATTCCAATGACAGAAGCCCAGAGTAGACAAGGAACCCCTGATCTGGTCCAATCGGCTTTATCTAAAGATGAGAGGACTGAGGCAAGACAGTGACAACGACTAACCTGGTAATCTGTTAAGAGACCTAATTAAGGTCTCTGCCTAGAAACAAAGAAAATTGAATTTGGAGCCATCTGAGTTCAAGCCCCAACTTTATACCTTCATAGGTATACCTTCTTGTCTCTTTCCTTCTTTGGAAATCCATTTTCTTACCTTCAAGGGAAAAAATAAAAAGTATATTCCTGAATGTCAGGATTATTCCTCATGGGCAGGAAGGCAACAGAGAGAAGTTAATGAAGAACTGACTCTATTTTTTGTACATTTGCACACACACATACTCACACATACTCATACACACACACACACACACACACACACACACACACTCTGTAGTAACTGCTTAACTGAAGTTTTGGGATCCTTGCACCCCCAAATTTCAAAACAATTTAAAAGCCTTGATGTCTCATTGTCCCCATTTTACAGATGAAGAAATGGAGAGGCACTGTAAGCAGCTCTGCTCCTCCCTTTGTGAAGGTGAGTAGCGTTTGTTTTCCATGTGGATGAAGAGAAGTACACAAGGGGTTTGCCACCGGCTGGGTTCTGGATGCAGAAGTTCAGGGGACAAGCTGGCTTTATTCATGGAGAACATGTAGTTGGGAGGGGCTTCTACCCCTGGGGGCTGTCTGGCCTCTACCAGTCACCCCACCAAGGAGGAGGGGAAGATGCCTAAAACTCTGTACCCCTAAGGAGAGAGGGAAGAATTAGGCACAAACCCAAATGCTCAGTTACGTGAAGGAGAACATGACTTAGGTCATTATAAATCGATGGATGTAATAGGGCTCTTATACAGACAGTCCAGTAAGTGGAGCTCCAGAATAAGAAGCTGAATGATTGACTGTCCAGATAAAGCTTCCTAGAAAAAAAATAAATGACCCCTGAGCTGAGCCTTAACAGACAAGAAGGATCAGCTCTGGATATGGAGATGAGGTAAAGGTGATACAGTCCTTTGAAATGTCCTAGGGACCTCATTTCTGGTTGGAGCAACCAGCAGTACCTTTTATATACATAGACATAAAAACATACATTATTGTTTTGTGTTTTTTCTTCAGTCTCTATTTTTTTCAAAAGTTATGCTTTTAATCTCAATATGTTTTTAGGATTTCTCCACAATGATACATGTAAGTTGGATCCATCCCTGTTTAACTCTCTTGAGTCTATTGACAAACATTGAGGTTCGGGTAATGTGTAGCCATTACAAACAGTCCAGGAGTGCGTGCACCCTTGTGCACATCTCCTTGTGTACATGTGTGAGACTTTTCTAAACACTAAAAAGTGGAATTACTAGGTGTATGGAATGAAAGTTTGTGTGTTTCCCCCCACCACCACCAAATTCATATGTCAAAGCCCTAACCCCAGTGTATTTGGAAGTGGGGCCTTTGGGCGGTAATTAGATTTAGATAAGGTCATGAGGGTGGCGTCCTCATGATGGAATTAGCGCCCTTATAAGAAGAGACTAGACAACACGCTCTCTATCTCTGTCCACCGTATGAGGAAAAAGCAAGAAGGCAGACATCGGCATGTCTGCAAGTGGGCCCTCATCAGAATCCAGCCATGCTGGTCCCCTGACCTTGGACTCCCCAGCCTCCCGAACTGTAAGAAACAAATGTCTGTGTTGTTTAAGCCACCCAGTCTCCAGTACTTTGTTAGCAGCCCAAGCAGCCTAAGACACTGGGGTTTGCGCAGTTGTGGGTAGTCAGCTGACAAATTGTCCTCCAAATTTCTCAGTTTACATTTCTACCAGCACAACCTCACCAATACATGATATAATCAAAAGTTTTCATCCAAGCTGTGCTTTGTAGGAAGACCTTTGTCATCCTCACCATCCCCAGGTAGGTCCCAAACATCTAAACTGCTCTTAAAGGAAGGAGAAAGAGCACTTACTCAGCTCCAGTGTGCTGCACATTTATTACCTCTTAGAACCCTCCAACAGACATAGGACGTCTCCTCCTTTACAATGGGAAATCGGGCTGAGAGAGGTGAAGTGACCTGCCCGAAGTCATGCACCAGAAAGTGTTGGGACCCGGACTTAAAATCAAGTCTGCATGCTTCATACTTAAAATGTTCATAATCTTTTCACTGTTTCATACATTCAACCAATATTTATTATTGAGAGCTGATTACATACTAGATGCTGGAGGTGCAAAAATGAATCACAGGGCCACACTTAGCATATAGGAGGACTCAGTAAACATTTGCTGCATTGAATCAAGGCCCTCGAAGTCCACAGGAGAGACAGACACATAAAAAATATGTGCAATAGAATGATGTAATGCTGTGGTAGAAATTAAGCTTCAGTGCAGGTGGCACAAAGGAGTAAGCTTAGTTTCCCCTGAGCCGTTTGAGTCACCAGGGAGGGCTTTACATCAGAGGTAGTTTTTGTCAAACACAAAAAGAGGAAATGGGTTCTCGGCAAAGGGAATAAGCAAAAAGACACAAGCGTATGAAGCAACATTGTATTGTCTGGAAATCACAACCACTACTCCTGGTTGCCTGAAAGTTGCTTCCTTCCAGCGTAGAGGCAAGGCATCCAGCTCAATTCATTCAAACTCACTGATCCTTCATTAAATGCCGGCTCTGTGCCAGGCCCGGTGTGAGATGCTTTCCGCGTGTTATCTCATTGAATCCTTGCAGCTTTTTGTCTCATTACACAGATGAGAAAATGGAGGCTCAGAGAGGAGAAGAGTCCAGGCCTGGGAGACATCCAAATCTTCTGTTCTTTCCACCCCTTGCTGTCTCCCCCAGATGCCAGCCACTGCTGCCCTCTCCTTTCCCAGGTCCAGCTCCAGAGGAACAATGTCCTCCCAGCAAACCTCAGGACCCATAGCTAGTTACCCACTGGGTCAGGAGACCCTGCTCATTTCATTGCCTCTTTTTCTCCAGGGGAAACAGGAGAGGAGAATGCATATAGAGTCATGGAGTTTTCCGTCTTTGACCAGACACTATAATCCTATTCATCATTCATTCCTTTAACTAATTCAGGCTGACTTCGGAGATACGGAGATACTTCAGGTTCAGTTCCAGACAAACTCAGTATAGCCAATACAGCAATAGAGTAAGACACACTAATGTTTTGGTTTTCCATGCATGTAAAAGTTATGTTTACACTATACTGTAGCCTATTAAGTGTGCAATAACACTGTGCCTTAAAAATACATACATAACTTAATTTTAAAATATTTTATTGCTAAAAAAATGCTAACCATCATCTAAGCCTTCAGTGAATCATAGTAGTAACATCAGAGATTGCTGATCACAGATCACCAAAACAAGCATGATAATCATGCAATGTTGGAAACATTTCAAGAATTACTGAAATGTGACATAAAAACACAAAGTAAGCAAATACTGTTAGAAAATGGTGCTGTAAAACTTCAATTCGTAAAAACAAACAAAAAAAGCACGCTATCTGCAAAGCCTGATAAAGCAAAGAGCAATAAAACGAGGTATGCCTGTATTTCCTGTATTTACTGAGCACCTACTATGTGCCAAGCAATGTTCCTAGCACCATAGATACAAAACTGAGTAAGACAGGCAAGATTCCTGCCCTCAAGAAGGTTAAACAGTAGTGACTTCTCAGCGTTAGAAACACAGGTTTTGAGAGGTGACATGGCTTGTCCAAGGTCACATGGAAATTTTGTTGCACAGTTAGGACTGAAACCCAAGTCTACCTGGCTCCCAGTCCACAGCGCTTCCTCCTCCAGGGTGGTCATGACCGTCCCTCACCACCCTCCTGCTTTGTCTCTCCTCAGTCTCTGATCAGCAAGATGACACCAGAGAACTTGACCCGGGCGAGGGTTGCACCTGCTGAATTCATTCTCCTGGGCATCACAGATCGCTGGGACCTGCGTGTGACCCTCTTCTTGACCTTCCTGCCGGTCTACCTGGTGAGCCTGCTGGGAAACGTAGGCATGGTGCTGCTGATCCACATGGACGCCCAGCTCCACACGCCCATGTACTTCTTCCTGGCCAACCTCTCCCTGCTGGATGCCTGCTGTTCCTCAGCCATCGGCCCCAAGATGCTAGTGGACCTGCTGCTGCCCCACGCCACCATCCCTTACACAGCCTGTGCCCTCCAGATGTTTTTGTTTGCAGGGCTGGCCGATGCCGAGTGCTGCCTATTGGCAGTCATGGCCTATGACCGCTACGTGGCCATCAGAAACCCTCTTGGCTACACAACAGCCATGTCACGGCGTCTATGCCTGGCCTTGCTGGGAGCATCAGGCCTGGGCGGGGCAGTGAGTGCGGTGGTCCATACAACCCTCACCTTCCGCCTGAGCTTCTGCAGGTCCCGGGAGGTCAACAGCTTCTTCTGCGATATCCCACCCCTGCTGGCCATCTCCTGCAGCGACACCAGTCTCAACGAACTCCTCCTCTTCGCCATCTGCGGCTTCATCCAGACAGCCACGGTGCTGGCGATCGCCGTGTCTTATGGGTTCATCGCTGGAGCTGTGATCCGCATGCGCTCGACCGAGGGCTGTTGGCGAGCAGCCTCCACCTGCGGCTCCCACCTCACGGCTGTGGCCATGCTGTACGGGACACTCATTTTCATGTACCTGCGTCCCAGCTCCAGCTACGCCCTGGACAGCGACAAGATGGCATCTGTGTTCTACACCCTCGTCATCCCAGCTCTCAACCCGCTCATCTACAGCCTCCGCAACAAAGAGGTCAAGGAGGCGCTCAGTAGGAGCCGGAGCCGATTCTGCTGTCCCAGGAGGATGCATCAGTGATGGAGGGCGCACCGGCGAGGGGAGATGCACCAGCAAGGGGGGACGCACCAGTGAGGGGTCCCAGGAGGCTGGTTAGGACCGACTATGAAGAGATGAGGAGGGTGATTCCTGGCCCCTGTCACTGTGGGTAAAAATGGATGTTCCTCTGGCTGGATGTCTCTTGTCATTGTTTGAGGGGCTGAAAAGAGGGAGAAAAGGAAGCTAATAGACAGAAAGGCAGGAGCCCAGGGTAATCTAAACTGAGTGCCAGAACCAGGATCAGGTTAATTTGCTGTTAAGCTGCCTTAGGTTCCTCAGTGTTCAAAACATGGAAGTTCCTGGATGTTACCAAGTGCAGTAAGTAGGGGGTTTTGCCACGCATTCTTCTAAGAGGCTGATTCCCAGACGCACTGGGTAAGTGTTGAGTTGGCTGCAAGTGTTTCTAGAGCCTTGCTCTTTTAAGGTTCTTCATGACCAGCGAGTCTGCTCCTGGTCTCCTTGACCCCAGGAGAGCACCTTCAGAACCCACTCATGCCAAGGAATGAGACGGAATCTAGTGAGGCAAATATCCCTCCCCATTAGCCTGCATATCCCATCTCTCAGGACAATGGCTAAGAGCACCGAACATATGTGAGCTCTTTCCTAAAATCCCCAAAATCGGGTTAGAATTTGATCAAGGTTAAATTAGTTTGGGGCTGTGATAGAAGTTAGTTAAGAGCCAAAATGATGGTTATGGTTAAACTTGGGTTAGGATTAGGGTTCACATTATGGCTGAGACTAGGTTCAGGGTCAGGGAAGAGCCAGGGTTAGGTTCAGAATTTTAAAGCAATTGGACAAATTTAGAATTTAACTAAAAGTATGTAAATGTTACAATATGGATTGATTTTAATCAATGGTAGATTTGGGATACATTTTGGAGTCAGAGTTCGGATAAATTTGAGTTCTTCTTAGAAATATTTTAGGCTTAGTGTAAGAGGGCAGGACTAAGTAAGATTAGAACTCAGGTTTCATTTTATTGCTAGATTGGATCTGAGCTGGAGTTTCATTCACACTAGAGCTCTGTTAGATGGCAGTTAAGGTGGTGCGTGGATGGCATTTGTGGTAAGTTTAAGTCACAGCCTAGGTGTCACTGCAGTTAGCCTGAGTTCAGAACTAGATGAGAATTCGGCATAGGAAGAGTATTTTGAGTATCAAATCAACGTGCTTTGGGTCATTTTAATTTAAGACTTATTTAAAGGTATGGATAATGGTTAATGTTTCTTAAAGCTTGAGAGTAGAAGTTGACTCTTGGTGGCTTTAAGTTTCACTGAGAGTCATGAGCTTGCTGAGATCAGCATGTGGTCAGGCAGGGCAGACTGCTTTGTGTTAAGGTCACAACATCCAGAGGCAGGGTGGGGGTTAGGGGAGGGGATGCCATTAACCTCTGGGGCAAAGGTGACCACAGTGCTCCAAGCCTCGGGTCATGCTGGACTCTTCAGATCCAGTACCTTTGGGATTTTTGGCCACCCAGAATTGACAATTTTGACAGATTTTCTTTGTCTCCCTGACTCAGTTACACATGAGCAAGGCCCAAGGCACTGCCTTCTGCCTGGGGAGCCCCTTCATGCAAGAACAGGACAGGAGCTATGGTGGGTGCTTCCAAGGAGAGGTGGGGCATGACCAGAGTAGCTGCCAGCTCCTGCCTGATTGCCCTTCCAGTTCCCCCTGATTGTGGCTGAGATGAGGCCAGAGGCGGCAAGCTGTGAGATCCAAACAATGTCATTGTCATTCCCTAATAGGCTCCCCATAGAGTCTCTTCCTTCGGCCCCAGCCCTCACCCCTCCAACTTCCTTTCAAGGAGAAATCAGCCACTGGGTGCTTGGACTACAGGAAGACCAGAGGTTCGTCCTGGCTCCCTGGGGAGGTGATGCCCCTTGTGACCAGGACCAGGTCCCTCCTTAGTAACTACGGTCTTCTTGGAGGTCCCTGACTAATGGAGAGAGGGATGTGGACTATAACTGGTTCCTCAAATCTTAGAGAATTTTATAGGTTTCTAACAGGGTCACCAAGTTGTCCTGGTTTGCCCAGAATGGTCCTAGTTTTTAAAACTCTAAGTTCCATGTCCAAAGCACCTCCTCAGTCCTGGACAGACCAGGATGGTTGGTCACCCTGGTTCCTGATGACCAGCATGTTAAGAGCAGAGGGTACCATATCCCAAACTCAGCAGATTTTGACAAAGTCTTAAATGAATTAATACCCCTTCTCCCATCCCAAGGTTGTATTGTCCTTTCCCAGTTCTTACCTCCCATCACCGTAACAATTCACGTGCCATGACAACAGCTGGAGACATTTTCAGAAGATTTGGCAACCGTGGGACTGAGAATGGGAGGTTTGCCCCCAATTCAATGCCATTTATACTCAAAGACCTCCTCTGTGATCTTTTCTTCCTTTTACGGGTTCTTGGGCTCCCATGACACACAGTTCTCACCACGATCAAGGGCAAGTTTCCAGAGGCATGTGGCCCCTTCCATCATCTTGGCCCCACGGGATATCCACAGGTCCTTGCACATGTTTAGCATCCGTGGAGCAGCCAGATCGATAATCACGTAAATCCTGCACATCAACTGAAGGAACCGTGATGTTTCAGGCTGCTGGGCTGCGCCTACTTGATAGATAAGAAAGCAAACAAGAGGGAAGGGGAGGCACTGGCAGACAATAACAGAGTCCAATCGGGAGCACAGAGGAAGAGAAACAGGAAAGCTCCCAGTTCTGATACAGTACTTCCCTTTTAAGCCTCCTTCAACACCGTCTACTAAGACAAGCAATCAGGACAAAAGCAGGTTTGGGGTGGGGAGGACTGAGAGTCTGACTTATTGCACAAAATCAGTTGGCCCCGGCTGCACGGGTGGGCACTGAGGGAAGGGGCACTCCAGCAGGGGGAACGAGCTTACACAAGGGCACGGGGGTCAGGTGAGCTCAGCGCACACAGGAGACGCTAAGGAGACAATTTAACTGGCTAGGGATGGGTGTGTTGGGAAAGAAGAGGAGGACGTTTGCAGACCGAAGATCTGGGAGTGGGAAGGACACCCCGTGAGTTGGATGTCAGGTAGGGGAAGCTGGACTTTATTCAATAGGCAAGAGGGGGAATCGTTGGACGTTCATGCGTTCAAAATCCCCTTTCACGGCTGTTCTCACGCTGAGTCGGAAGGCAAAGCCGTTCCCCTCTGGGATACTCCAAACAGGCAGAGTTCCCTCGTGCCACAGCACATACACACACAGCAACACATAGCCCCTCCAACACACACACCCACTCCCCTGTCGGAAACCTTCGTGCACAAAGAAACGCATTCAGACTGGCCATCCACACAAACACAGACACACACTCAGGCTCATGGATGCGTTTTGTTTGACAGAGACAAGCTCACTTTCTCCACACCCAGGCATACAATCACACACACACACACACACACGGAGGCACACGTATGGCCACCATCCCCAGAGCCACAATCCCTACACGTCCTACAAGAAGCCTTGGTGACAGCTGAGGGGACAAGACGCTTGGCTCCAGAAACTACTGCTAAAAACCCGGGTTTGGGGTTCAGGAGTCAGCTCTGGCTTCACAAGGCAGGGCCTGGGGAGCTGCAGCTTCACCCTGCATGGGGCTCCTGAGGGTCCCTCGAGGGGGAGGTGGCACCAACCACCCCCAGCCCCATTGAACTGGGCTCTAGAGAGGCAAAATAACAAGCCCCAAAGCCCGGCCGCCTCCCGCCCCGGGGACGAGGGCCGGGGGAAGGGTGTCATCTCTGGGAGAAGCTAAGGTGCTCCCGAGGCCCCAAGCCCCATAAGTGTGGCCAATAACTCCCTCCCCAGACTCTCTGGTGATGGGCTGCACCTGGTCCCTGCTGCGGCTCCCTCCTGCCACGTGGAGAGGCCAGAGGGTACACCTGGGGCAAAGGGCTGGGCAGGAGAGTCTGCACATGTGTCTTCTTGAATGTGAGAGCCAGTGCTATCTGTGTGAAGCTGTGACTGTGCATTACCATCTCTGCACGATGGTGTCATTGTCAGGGTGGGGGAGGCAGTGTGTATATGGACGTGCCCCTCCAAGACGCCACATCTCTGCTGTGACCCAGCACGAGCCTACGTGAGTGTGGCCACGAGCGTGAAGTTGCAAGGTTGTGGGCCCCTGGGGCTGGGCGTGAAGGTGTGATTGTGTGATCAGTGAGGGCACTGGGCGTGACTGGATGTGCACAGTCAGGCACTGGTGCAGTCCTTACACAGACCAGGTGGCCAATGAAAGTGTGAAAATGCGTCGTGGGTCCCAGGAGCTGTACGTGTTGCCCCTCCATGAACAGGGGCCTGTGACTGATGGTCACCCTCTGGCCTCGGTGCTATTTTGTGACTGCCTTTGACCACCTGTTTCTGTGTATGATGATCTGGGTCTGTGGGTCTTGTGGTCGTGCTTGCCTGCTCACTTAGATGTGACGTGTGTGCTGGTCCACCTTTCTGTATATGACTGATCACGCCTGTGTATTTACAGAGAACAGCTTGAGGCTGCACGTGTCTGCACGCCTGCTTGTGATTGATTACAGATGACTGTTTCTGCAAAAAAAATCTCAGTATATTTGCTTTTTTTTAATTGAAGTACAGTCAGTTTACAACATTATGTCAGTTTCTGGTGTACAGCACAATGCTTCAGTCATACATGAATATACATATATTCGTTTTCATATTCTTAGCTCAGTGTATTTGAATGTTTATTGAGACCAACTTAAACGCAGGTCACAGTAGGTCCAGTTTGAAAAAAAAAGAGCGATTTTACAAGCAGGCATTCCCACTTTCTTCTATCCACTCACTGTGATCCTCTTACCTTCCTGGGTGGTGAGATGTGACTGGGAAGGTGAGAAAAATTGTTCTAACAGGGAGCCAAAGCCAGAAGATTCTTCTTACCCAATGGAGGAGGAAAAGGAAGACCCTAGGGTAGAAGGGGTCTTTTATTTTATTTGGGAAAGATGTGGAAAGAAATTAAGAGATCGTTCCCTTGC